TTTTCTTGTTTTTAGACAAAGCAAGTGGCACGCCTAACATCCAACTCACGTGGTAAAGGTCGGCTGAGGATTTTTGAGGAAACAATCCTTTGTTGGCACGCCCAGTGGGACAACCAGCAGGATGTATCACTTACAGTTCACAAATCCTCTGTTCATACATTCAGAGGCGTCTGGAGCCATGCCACTGAGAAAGAGTAAAGATAAAGAGGTTCAGCCAGCCCAGGCTGACCATGCAGACGACAGTCCACTCCACTCTGAGGGCGAAAATGATCCCATCACTTTTCTCCCAGTGTCACCTTTAGCAGAACGGTCCTATGGGAATCCAGTGTTTAAGGAGAAAGAAGCAGACCATGGAGGTGACTTTGCTAAGTCAAGTAATATGTTTAGAGGTATGATGGATCGTCTGGATATAGCATTCAAAGAAAAGAACCAGACTATGCAGAGACTTGTTGAGAGTCAAGCAAAGTCTGCCAGACGTCAGGAAGAGATAATCAGACAATGTATAGAAGAAATGAGACGGGTCTTTGAAAAAGGCACTAGGGTGATGCAAGAAACTGGGGAAGAAAGTTGCAGACCACTACAGGCTGTTTCAGAACAAGTGGTTGAGCAAGTGCGACAGCCCAGACCTGAGATCCCTCCTCCAGTCGTTGAGATACCCAGACAGATTCAGGAAGCCCCAATCCCAGCACTCGGGGGGCAAGGAAATCAGCCTTATCCTAATATTCAACAGCAGCATTTTGTCATTGGTGAAGGGCAAAGACAACACCAATTGATGGAGGCTGCTACTCCTGTTGCAGACCATGGCCATCAACCTCAGCATAAGTATATTCTGCTAGCTAGGAAGGGAAATGTGGGTCCTTGTCATCAACCTTGTCCAAGGGACTTTTTCCAGCCACAAGTTCCTCCAGTCCAGCCAGTACGGCGTAGTCTGCAGAATCAACCAGCTCAATTCTTCAATAAAGACCATGGGCCATCCTTGAGGCCATTGGAAAAGATTGATAAGAACACATTGAGATTTCCAGACAAAGCGAAGGAGACCATGGGAGTGGATGCAGATCCTTTTCCAGCTGTGTCTGTCGGCGTGAATGTTGCAGACCTCATGAGTGTTGCCAAAAATCATAATCTGCCTCATACTCATAGGAATCTTGCTGCTGAAGACCTGAGGTGGGTTCTTGAGGCACAGAGATCCAGACATAGCAGGAGCGTCAGGTCAGACCAGCAGAAGCTCGGGGGGCAAGGAAGGATCACTGTGACCAGGAACTTCAGTCCAGAAGGTGCCAGACGTTATTCAACTGGTACTAGATCTCCAAGGATGGTCAAGCCGCCACTTAAGTCACCTTCCAAACGGTGGGAGAAAGTCAATCATCCTAAGTTTCCAGCCCAGAATCCCAAAACCTTGAGGCGCAGACTGCAGCGCAAGAGGGCTGAAGAGCGAAAAAGACACCAGAAGCAGGTGGAGGCTGAGGGAAGTTCATCTCGCAGACCACGCCAACCTACCAAAAGGAATATGGT